TGGCACGAGGACAGTTTGAAATTGACCTGCCAGCAACTGTGCAGTCCAAGTATGGCTGGTAATATGTCTTTGCAGAGCGATAAACCAAAACTCCCCAGCCCTAGAGGGCTCTCACATGAACAACTTTACAGAGGAGTCGGAAAGAAGGGACCGGTCCTGGGACAGGCTCCTGAGTCCAGCAGGGAGGGCAGGAGGTGGCTGAGAAAGTGTCCTCCGATTCTAAAGAGTCAGCGTATGAAGATTTTGAGGGAAAGAAAGCACACATTGTTCAGACTGACTCCTCACTGGGTACAGATAAGAGTGTGGGACAAAGTCAAGCCTGGGGTTACCAGGGTCATCTGGGGGTACTTGCTGCTTTCTTTCTTTCTTTCTTTCTTTCTTTCTTTCTTTTTTTTCTTCTTTTCTTTCTCTCTCTCTCTCTGTCTCTCTCTCCTCTTCTTCTTTAGGGATTGAATCCAAGGCCTTCGCCTGGAGCTACATACCCACTGGTTCGTGGGGAAGGTTGTGAGGGGAGCGGTGAGAAGTGAGCTGCTGGTTTTAGGCTGCCTCCCACCAGCTCCTCCTTTCTGTCCTCCCCCTGCTAGTGTTGAAGAATCAATTCTAGAAGCAGCTGTATACAAGTGGTAGAATCTTGGGTACCAGCTGTAAGCTTCAGTTTCTCTGTCAACAGGATGGGCAGAATGTCTAGTTGGCAGCAGTTTGGGAAGAGTAATGAGTTGATGGGTAAGAAAGGTCTGGGTGGGGCTGGGGGTTTAGCTCAGCTGCATAAGTACCTCCCTTGCAAGCAGGTGGTCCTGAGTTCGATCCCCAGTACCGATAAAAATGAAAAAGACAAAAAAAAAAAAAAAAAAAAAAAGAAAGGTCTGGGTTTCACTTTACCCTTTTTCCTCAAGGCCTTGCTGGAGTGGCATTTACAATGGTGTAACAATGTGTTATCTGCCCCAAGATGATGGAGAGAAGCATATTCTACCCCTCCCCAGATGGACAGCTAGCATCCGACACCCTGCATACTTTGTTGAAACTATGCCTAAAAGTTAGAGAATTCTTACTAGGTTTCTATACGTTTGCATAGCACTTATGGCTGACAGAGGACCTTAGTAACAATGATCTAATGTGAACCCTTAGCAAACATTCTGGGCAAGGGAACATTTTATGTGACTGATAACATAACTGAGGCTCGTAGAGCCTGATATAAAGAAACCGAGGCTCAAAGAATATTTATGAATGAATAGCAGATATCAAAATTAGGTCAGTTCTATGAAAGCCCTTTCTAATGAAAACTAGACTACTCTCAAAAAGATCAAAAAGGATACCAGAAAATAGACACCCTGTTCCTAGACAGGCAGAACCAATGTTGTCAACATGACCATATTACCAAAACTGATGCATAGAATTCAATTCTAATCAAAATAGCAACACTATCCCTCACAGAACTAGAGCAAAGAATCCTAAAATTCATGTGGAACTAGAATAGATCCAGAACAACATAAGTAATGCTGGGCACCAAGAGCAAAGCAGGAGATATAACAATCCCAGATTTAAAGTTATATCACAAAATTTCATGGAAAAAATAGTATGGTGCTGTCATAGAAACCGATATATAAATCAATGGAACAAAATATAGGATACAGAAGCAACCCAAAGCAAATTCAGCCATCTCATTTTTGATAAAGGGGCACAAAACACATGCTGTAAGTAAGAGCCTCTTTGGCAAATGGTCCTGGGGAACCAGTTATGCCAGGAGAAGGCTGAGTCTGAAGCCAGGCACAGTGATGCGGCCTGGAATCCCAGCATTCAGGGTTTAGCCTGAACTGCACAGTGAGACCCTGTCTCAAACCATTCCTCCCTCAAAAAATTGAATTCAGACCTTATGTCTATAACCATGTGATCAAAGACTCAGATATTAACCTGGCATGGTGGCTTACACCTGTAATCTCAGTTGTAATCTCAGCACTTGGGAGGCTGAGGCAGGAGGATCATTGCAAGTTCGAGGCCAGCCTGAGCTACAGAGTGAGACCCTGTTGCAAAAAGACCAAAAAAAAAGAAAAAAGATTCAGACATTAAAATGGAAACACTGAATCTAGACAAAACAGGTAAAACTCTTTAAGATATAGGCATAGGTAAAGACTTCAACTGCACGATAAATAACATTGAGAATCAACAAATGGGATCATATCAGATTAAAAAGCTTCTGCACAGCAAAGGAAACACCAGAGTAAAGAGACAACCTACAGAATGGGCAAAAAATTTCCCACCTATTCCTATGACAGAGGATTAATATCCTGAAATATATAAGGAGCTAATATAGGCCCTCTCTAAATAAAAGACCAAATAAAAATGGGAAGTTGAATGAATAGATACTTCTCAAAAGAAGCAGTACAATAGCCCATAAATGCATGTAAAAATATTCATTATCTTTGGACATTAGAGAAATTCAAATCAAAACATTGCTGGGATTCTACTTTATTCCAGAAAGAATGCCAACATCAATAAGTCAAATATAACAAATGCTGGCAAGGCTACAGGGAAAAAAGAACACTTCTATACTGTTGGTGGGCATATAAAGCAGTACAACCACCACAGAAATCAGTATGGAGACTCCTCAAAAACTAAAAATAGAAATTCCATTCAACCCAGATATTCCCAAAGGCGTTAGACATTCTATTACAGTAATATGTCCATACTCATGTTTATAACTATAAAAATGTTAGCCACTAAATCTTTGAAGAGGGCATAAATTCATCAACAGATGACTGAATAAAGAAAATGTGGCATTTCTATACGATAGAGTACTATGTGATCATAAAGAAGAATACATGCAAGGTAATTTGTAGAAAAATGAATGTATCTTGAAACCAGAATGCTAAGTGAAAGAGAAACTCAAAGTATAAGTAATTTTTTTTGGTATCAGGGATTGAACTTATGACTGCACACATGTAAGGCAGGTGCTTATGCTGCTGACCTAAATCAACAGCCCTCAAAGTATACATAATTTAAAGAGCAAAGTAAAGACTGGGCAATAACCAGGGAGATCTTTTGCAAATGAGAAAGGCATCCATAGATGTAGGGAGTGGGAATGGAAAAAAAAAAAGAATTAAGATGTGTTATGTACATGTAGCAACCCTCCATGTACTGCAAACAAAAATAGCTCATTTCTAGACACAGCGCTCCTTGACTTATAATAGGGTCACGTCCCAATAGCTGAAAATACTGTAAGTGAGGATGCGCTTCATACACCACCAAACATCAGAGTTTCATGGCCCAGTATACCACAGAGCCAGTTGTTTCTTCTGGTGCTCATGTGGTTGATGGGTTGTGGCTCGTGGGCCACTCCCCAGCATAGACGAAGTGCCTAACCCCAGTGAGCCAGAAAAACAGCAAAATTCAAAATGTGATTTCCTTCATTCCATCTTGCCCTCCTGCTCTTCCCTGCTGGGTACCAAACCCAGGGTCTTATCCACAGCCCTTTTTATTTTTAGACAGTATCTCATTAAGTTTCTTAGGCTGGGCTTGAGTTGAACATTTTCCTGCTTCAACCACAATTTTTTTTTTAAGACAGGATCTCATTTTGTAGTTCACACTGACCTTGAGCTCTCTTTGCAGCCCAGGCTGGTCTTGAATTTGCAGTGTTCTGCCTCAGCCTTCTGAGTGCTGGGATTACAGGCATGCACCACCATGCCCATGCTTCAACCTCTCACTGGCTGGGATTACACCTGTACACTACCATATCAGCCTTCAAACTACAATTTCTCCTGAATGAGTACTGGTGTTGTAACATCGTAAAGTTGAAAAATTATGCCCAAAATTGCAATGTGGGGTCTGTTTGTATTTCAAGACTATTAAGGTAACTTCTTTGATCTCAGGCTACCTGTGTTTGAAATTCTTTTTAAACAAAATAAATAAAATAAAAAAATAAATAATAAAATAAAATAAAATATTTGTTAATTAAAATGTTGGGACAGAGTCTCACTAAATCACCAAATTGCCTAGCTTGGGCTCCAATTTGTGACTCTCCTGCCTTAGCCCCACAGCATGCTGGGATTATGGGGTACCACCACATTTGGCCTGGGCTTGAAATTCTTCAGTCTGTTTCTTCAATTGTATTTTGCATCCTAGTAAAATGCATGTCACTTCTAAAATAATTTTTACTGAAATTATAAACAGCATTAGTAAGATACTGTACTTCATAGTTTACAAAATGCGTTAAACTCTATTGGATCATTTAATTCTTTCAATAACCGTGTGGGCTAAATAAAGCAAGTATGAGTAACTCCATTTCTGGGATGAGGAACTAGATTTAGGAATTAAGACTTGCTCAGTGTCAGATAACCAGTAAGTAGCAGAATCAAAATGGGAACCTGGCCTTACAGCTAGCAATTTCAATGCCTTTTTGTATTTTCATTATTGTTATTATACTTTTGTTATGTTTTCATCAGTCTGTGTAATTTTTTTGTGTGTGTATGTGTGTGGTAGAGTCTCACTATATAGTACAAGCTGGCCTTGAACTCACTATGTAGCCCAGTCTGGCCTAAAACTTGTAGTGATCTTCCTGGCTCTGACCCCCTAAAATCCAGGGATTACAGTCATGCACCACCTCTCCCTCCCCAAAGTCAACTTTTGTAAAAAGTGAAAAAAAGAAGGCACACAATTGCATACCCATGTCCACTGGTATGTATGTACCGCTCTACACCAGAGGAAAGCGTCTACATTCTGCATTTCAGTAAATAACTGGCATTTTCTTGGCATGGTTAGTCTATAGGAAATTATGGGCTGTGATGTTGTATATCATCAGAGACTGTCAAGGAGATTACAGTGTAATGTTACTCTGGTGTCACTGCTGGGTATTGTTTGTCTTTTCCTTACCAACAAATACACTTACTAGATCTTATTTTAACATCATGTTTTTTTAAAAAAGAAAGAATTTGTAATCCTTTCTTTTGTGAGTAACATACCTCTTGTCTGATGATAAGGACTTTGCTTGTGTTCTCTGTTCTTTTTAGGTCATAACTGGTCGTTGGTCTATTCATGTTTTTGGGTCTCCAGAGCAACATGTGAACTGAAGCCAACTCTGAAGGAGAAGGAATGGGTCAAAGACACAGAGAGCTGATGAGACAAGACCTGTGTTTAGAGGCTAGCTTTGGAATTAAAAAAAAAAAAGAAGAAAAGCGAGGAATTAATTTTACGCACAGAGTGTCTGCCTGGGTCCCTCACCACTGGGAGTCTGGCCCTGGGAGTGCGCTGCCGGGCAGGAATGTGTGCCTGAGAAGTCTGGCTGGCAGGTGGCTGGACAGTGTGATTTATAGCGAGGCTTTACAACTTGTCACAGCAGTCCTCGAGGGAGACACGTGAGCCCCAAGGGCAGAAGTGGCCAAGTCCCAGTGAAGCCTTAGGGCAAAAGCCTAAACTGAGGTCTCCCTACCCTCTGGCTTGTGGGGCTCTTCAGCTTTGCCCTCTATGGCGGTGAGGGGAGGGGGGAAAGGCAGCGGCCACAGAGGAGACTGGAGCTTTGTGTGCGGCCTCTCCGGAGTTTGCACCGAATCTTCTTTTGGCAGGCTCTGATTGGTATCCTTTGGCTACAGTAAACTTTTAATTGTAAGTATTTTGCTTTCTTGAGTTCCATGAGTCATTCCAGCAAATTATCAAACCAGAGGAAACAATGGGACCCCTGAACTTGCGTCTATGCTGAGGGAGCCTTGGGGGAATGGACCCCTACTCTGTGAAGTTCCCTCACTGCTGGTAGGTGGTGTCAGACATCACTGTGTCTTTTGACATCTTCTTTTAGACTTGTATTTTGGCACTTTCTGGCTTGATTACTTCTCTCAACTTTGATTTTTTAATTCGAGGATTAGGAATGTTCTTTCTTCTATTTCCTCCACAGGGTTAATTAGAAAAATCAAAAATTAAATAATATAGACAAAAGTTATTATGATGATAAAAATATACTATGTAAAACCATAAAGGGTCAAGTTTTCTCAGTGGGGGGATACTGGGGATCAAACTCAGGACCTCATGCTTGCCAGGCAGGCACTGAGCTGCTGAGATATATCCCTGATGCCCCCTCTCCCAACCTTTTTTGAGACAGGGTTTTGCTGTGTAGTCTGTGAAACTCATGACAGTCTTCCTGCCTCGGCCTACCAAGTGCTGGGATTACAGGCACATGTTACCACGCATAGCCCAAGAAAATATTTTACTGTTATTATATTGTAACTAAATGGTGGAGATGGATGTGGTGGAGGTGTGGGTGGCTTTGGCAAGACCTATCCAATCACTGTGGTCTACAGTGAACAAGTCAACCTCTGTCCCTCTGGGGCTTATATTTTACTCAGGGAGAGATATAATAAAAAGGAAACGAGGTGAATAATTAGATCACAGTAACTGTAAGAAAGTAGAGATGATATGGTAACGATTCCACTGGAAGAGAAATGTCTTGAGGCAGAGTGGCTCGAGAAGCAGCCTTAGAGGAGCTGATGTTTTAGTAAAGGTTTCATGGAAGAGGACAAGAATATTTTAGACAGTGGGGACAGTAAGGGCAAAGACCTTGAGGCGGGGAAGCAGGTTGCTGTTTGAAGAACAGAAAAGAGGTCTCCGGGACTGGGCCGTGGAGGGTTCAAGATATGTATGGATCAGATGATAAAGGACCTTGTGTTCCAGAAAAATGATCTGATTATTTATTTTAAGGGTGATGTGGAGCTTAGATGGTTTTCAGTAGGCAAGTGTAATCAATCTTACCACAAAGCTGTTAGTTGCAGAATGGGAAGATGGGAAAGAAAGCGACAGAATGTCAAGAGAATCAAATGAGTTACCAAATGAGGGGTGGCCGAGGAAAGGCAGAGCTACCAAATTCAAGGTGCGCTTTAGGTGTAGACCCCAGAAAGCTGCTGAGAGACAGATGTTGAAGATGAAGAAGTGAGAGGAAGGTATGTCTGCCAGGGCCTTTGCAAAGCAGTACTGAGGACGGGGAGGGTGGAGGAGCTGTGGGGTGCTTCTAAAGAGAAGTGAGGAGGAAGCAGGAGCAGCTGGGGAGTCTCAGACTGAAAAGAGTCAGAGCCTTGGACCTCGAATACCGCATCCATTCCAGCATGTCTACCTGTCTAAGCTGTAAATTCCTTTCTGCATTGCTGATGTCAAGACACTGAGTATTGCTCAGTGTTACATCACTTTTTCCTAGGACTCTAGAAGCACCCTGATAGTCTGTATAATTCCATATGCCAGGACAGTGTTCTCTAATTAATAGTCTCTCCCCCAACTTGCTCTTATTTCGACTCTTTATTTGCTATCTTCTTTTTTAAAGTTTTTAAAAATTTATTGGTTTATGTTTGCAATACATGATAATTGCATTTAACTTGGAACTTGAGTCACATTGGGTAAATTCTTGCTTACTCAATTTTCCATTCTGGCATCATTGAATTTTAAGAGGGACAGAGTGAATACTACAAGATCCCTAACCTCTGGAACTTACATCATGGCATGTTCTATTGGTCAACACAAGCTCAGATTCAAGCAACTGTTGGAGAAACAATAATGCCTCTTCCATAGAAGAGACTATAAACTGACACTGGGAGGAGCAAGGAGGGAGGGTGATTGAGAACCATTATTGGGGCCTGGGGATTTAGCTCAGCGGCATAAGCACCTGCTTTGTAAGCAGGCAGTCATGAGTTCGATCCCCGGTACCGATAAAAAGGAAAAAGACAAAAAAAAAAAAAAAAGAGAACCATTATTGAGTTATCAAGTTATAGTAAGTTGAAGATGCCTGCTAGAGATGTCAAAGAGGCGCTTGGCTGTGAGGGCCTTGATCTTGAGAGTGGGGGCTTAGACTGGAGAAATACACTGGAGAGATGCCAACATCTAGACATGTGCTTATGGGAACCATTCTGGTTACTGTATAAGCCTGGACACGCATGCTGCCAGAGGGCAGCAGCTCGAGCTGGCGGATGCTACAAGGTGATGAACATCTGATCTCTACGTTGGCTGTAAGTCATTCCCCACTAGTACTTACAGCATGCCACGGACTGTCTGCTTCCCCTCCCACCTCCGCAGAACCACAAGGACTAGACTGGAGGTTAGGACACTGCTCTACATGCGCAGGACAGGCCAGAAAGCTATTTAGCACCTTATTTTGCCATCTAATGAAAGGAGTCCTGCAAGAAGGGACTATATGCTATCATAGTGCTAATCTCTGGAAAAAAGGAAAAGCAGGAATAAGCTTGAGTCTAGAATTTTCAAAAGAAAGAGATGATTTCTGAGCTATCCCAAATTAGCAAGAACGACACTGGGTGGCAGCCTCAGCAAAGCTGGAAGCCAAGAAGAGGAGGGATGAAGAGTCAGCGGTGAGGACACAGAGGACACAAAGTCCCAGGGCTACTTGCTTTTTACCAGTCTCCATCTTAAATCTCTATGAAACCTGCCTCCTGCCCATCATTTCTGTAGCTCTATCAGTCTCTATGTCTCTGATCAATTATGAGTGGGCAACCTGTGATGCTCCCCAATCTGAACCCACTTTCCTCCACACTTGTTAAGTTTCCACAATCCATTTTTTATAGTAATAGTAAATTTATTTTTGTTTTTTTTTGAGACCAGGTTTCACTATGTAGCCCAGGCTGGCCTCAAACTCGCAGTGATCCTTTTGCCTCAGCCTCTGAATGCTGGGATTACAGACGTGCACCACTATGCCCTACTTATGATCCCATTTTTAAAATGGCCCTGCTAATTTCTGCATTCTCCCGGTCCCTGCTTCCAACCCTGGGTTGCAGTGGGGCTGGGCTGAGGCCTGGATGGACTTTTTGGCTCCATCTCTCATTTCCTGAGTGGAGCCTCGCTGCACTAATTGACCTCGAGGGTCTCAGCTGTGCTAAGTTGGGTGTTTGTTAGATCCCTGTTAGGCTTGTAATTAGTGCAGGAAATCTAGGTCACAGGCAATGATGGGCTGGAGTGATGGTCTCTCGGGGCCTGAATAAAGGTGGGGGATAGCAAACAGGTTCCTGTGTGTGTGTCTGTGGTGGGTGAGCTAGGGACAGGGACAGTGGGACTCGTGCACACACGCAAACATGATCACGTGCAGAAAGGCACTCAACCCTGGTGTGTGTGTGTGTGTGTGTGTGTGTGTGTGTGTGTGTGTGCTCGTTTGCTTTTACGTTTTTACTCCAGTTTCCTTCCAATCTCTCCATATATGGTGTGGCTCCAGGGCAGGCTGGGGATTGGCTGCAGTTGTTGGGAGCCCAGACCAGGAGGTAGGAGAGAAGCAGAAAAAGAAACGAACCGGGCGGGGTGGGGGCGGGGGTGGGGGGTACGCAGTCGCCCAGCTCCCAGGGCTAGGTCTGCTTGTCTGTGAGGGGTAGACAAGGGACAGTCTTTGGAACCGGTTTCTGAGGAGAAGGAGGTAAATTTACTATTGGCAGAGGGGCTGGGGGAGTGGGTGGGGAAGGGGACAAGGGCTGTTTTCCTAGGATTAGGCTTGGTGTGCCATGGTTTGTGAGGGCTGGTGCAGGGGTTAGAGAAACTTGTGCTCCCCCAACCTCTTTTCTTTTCACGCTGGACAACCTACAGCTATGCTGTGCAAATTGCATGCAAATGAACTCATCAGCTTTCTGGGCCAACGCCTCAGACATTCTTGCTAGTGCTGGAAGAGCAGCGCTGTACCTTAACCGACTCCCACAGCTTCCCCTCAACAATGTACCAAGAGGAACAGGAAAAACTGAGGAAATGTCCTTGAGATGTAAAATGTGCACTTGGTTCTGTGCATGCCTCCTCCTTCACCCCACTTTCACTCTGTTCTTCATCACTGCCCCCTACCTGAGAGCCTCCCAATGGAGTTTCCTTTTCCAGTTCACTTGGGCAAGACGATAATGTAACAAAGATAACGGGAGGGAGGAAAAGAGGAAGAATGGGAATCAAACTCAATACCTTACACTTGCCAGGTAGTTGCTTATGACCCTGAGCTATAACACCAGTCCAAGAACGGAAATATCTGGAAAAAATGTCCATGGGCACTGTGGCATGAAAAAGCTGCCCCACATAGCTGGGGCTGGCGCCTGCTGCTCCGCCCATTCACTCGCCACAGATACAGGGCCCACGGAAGGAAGCAGCATCCTGACCTTGCTTGTCACCTGCCACCACAAACAATCCAGCTGGTGGAAACCTAGCTTTGGCTGAGCTCTGTCCCAAAGACCGAGGACTGCAGGCTCCTCTTCTAGCTCTTGCCTTTAGCCTGGCACCTGGCACTCTCTTGCCTTGGAAGAGCACAGCCTGTGACCTTATCAAGTGCATGAACCCAAGGAGGTTACAGTGACAGTGTCAGACTCTGTACCTTTGTCTCTTTCAAAGGTGCTCTGGCCATCTAAGCTCCCTGTCCTTGCCTGATGAGCTGAGCTAATAATCATAGCAGCCACAGCTGCCATGTCATAGCATGCCACCAGCCTTTCCCACACACTGCCTTCAGCCATTCAATAACTCATGTTTAAAGCCGAGGAGGACACTGACACCCAGAAAGCTTGCATCCTTGCATCCTACTGAAGGCCTTGTAAGCAAAAGGTGGCAGTCAGAACTCAAACCCATGTTTGGGCTCAAAGCTGGACTCATTTCACCACATTGTGGCCTGGATGTTCCAGCAACTACAGAACTGACGCTGGTGGTGTCTGTGCCACGACCACAGGAGCCAGCGGCCAGGTCTTGAGGTCCCCTGCTTCCCTCACCTGTCATACTCTTCTCTGGTGTCTCCCAACATTGCACGGTTCTCCTGGGAGGCACAGACGCCTGGCATATTGGGACACACATGTCATCCTCACTTATCCTCATTTATCTTTTTCACTATGTGGGAGTGACAAGGAAGAAAAAGGCAAAATGGTGGTAAAATTCATTCAGAAATGGAAGTTTATAAAGTGTAAGTTTAAGTCAGACTTTCAATATTTGTGGCACTGATGACCAGGCTGTTTTGGAATGAAGCCTACTTGGAGGACAGGAAGCCTGGAGATCTCGGTTCTGTCATTCCTCAGGAGACCCTGGGCATGACAGCAGGGTGACACTCTGCAATTCACTGACTCAAGTGGGACACTTGTTTTGAAGACTAGGTAACTGCAGGCCAGATACAGGGCAAGCATTCATGACAGGGTGTGGTGAGGGATGCAGACAAGAATCTCTCGCGTGAGCAGTTTGATTCAGGTTCCCACCTTGCTCACGTGGTTGTAGGACTGGCATCAGAGCAGAATGGAAACTGAAGGACTCCTATTTCTCCCATAGCATTTTCCTCTTTAAAAGAAGGCCATCTTCCTAACTCTAAGGGTCTATGTGCAACTTGTCCCCATCTCTTCTCTTCTCCCTACTCAGTCACTGAAGTTCTGGGACGTGGCTCTTAAGGGGAGAGAAATCTGGGGAAAGGGACTGAAAAGCTTTAAGGGGTTGAATAAATTTTCTAGCCCCTCATTCACTTGATTCATGAAGTTGTCTTTCCAAAAATAATTTGACTCTTCTATGGAACTTATCAGTTATTAAAACCTGACTCTAGGGGCTGGAGGTTTAGCTCAGCGGCATAAGCACCTGCCTTGCAAGCAGGCGGTCGTGAGTTCGATCCCTGGTACCAATAAAAAGGAAAAAGACAAAAAACAAAAAACAAAACAAACCTGACTCTAGAAACTTCAGAGAAAAGCTACGAACAAAATAAATGCAGCTGTGGGTCCCACTGTGATATGCAAGGGAGTGCAGCAGCTACAGAACAGAGCAGGTGGTTTAGATGGTCTTCCAGAGCGGGCCTGCTCAGAGAAGGGGGTTAGAGACTACAGGAAACCTTGTGGCTGAAAGAGGAACCCAGACATATGGCTGGTTTTCCCCTTTACCCTACCCAGCCTGCATCACAAATCAGTCTCATTCTTAATTCAGTTCTTCCGTGGGGTCAGCAGTTTCCAGTTCCCCTATGCTAGGTCCCCAGATGACCAAGCCAGTCCCATCCAGCCAAGGTAATGTGTGACTCTTACGCTGGCAAGAGCATGGTAGATGTAGGGTGGAACCATGTCAAAATAACAAAATCCAAACAGTTCCATTCTCCCAAACCTGTTCCTTTTTTGCAGTATGGTATGGGGACAGAAGCCAGTCCTCATCCTGCTAGGTAGGCAACTGCTCTACCATTGAGCTCTGGCCCTAGCCCAAGCAGCTCAATCTCAAGACCGCCATGGGTGAGAAGCCAGTGCGGGGCTGGGAGGTTCTCATTCCACACATCCTCTTCAGGACTGGGGTAAATTTCACTTCTATGGCATGGACAGGTGGCCTTGGGCCCCACACCCCTAGAACTAGAGTTGGGCAGCTGAAATTTCACACTCAGACTGAAAATGTGGAATGGGACACATGAGAAAACCTGCTATCTCAGCCCCTCTCTTGGAAGTCTGTGCAGGTCTCTACCAGCCACAGGGCCAGGAGGCGGGCAGGGTGTAGGATGTGAGCAGGCCGTGTCTGTACACCGACCATGCTTTCTTGCTTTGGGTCAAATTTTTTATTACTGCTATAGGGATCATCTGCTCCTCAAAACTGGGTAGGGGGGCGTTAAGAAAGCAAGTAGGGGAAGCAGAGGACCCAGAAAGCAGGTAGGGGAAGAAGAGTGGTAGCAACAGCCATGAGTTTGTGTTTGTTTTCTGGTTTTGGTTTTTTTTTTTTTTTTTTTTTTGATTGAGGTAAATAAAAAACTTTATCCTGCATTGCTTGGAGGTAAGAGTCTGTCTGTCCCCCAAAAGTTCTGGTGTTGTGCTGTCCTTCACATCAAGCTCTTCCGGTACTGACTGTGCTGGACACTCTGTCTGAGGTGGGAGTCTGGGGTCTGCAGGTCCATCTGTCTGTACAGGTCCCTCAGCTCCCTGACTTCCTGCAGCACCCGCTTCGCCTGGCTCCAGTTCGATGATGCCTCTCCCAGCAGCCGCTCCGTCTCCAGCAGCAGCTGTTCTGACTCAGAGTCGGCCGGAGACCGTGGGGGATCCTTGGCCTTTCGCTTGCCATCTCCAAGTCCCTGAACCTCTGCCAGCAGCTCCTGAGTCTTCTCCAGCTTCCTTGCGACCAGGTCCTGGATGCGGGACAGCTGCCCTGGGGGTGGTGGGATGGCTGCTGGAGACTCTTCAGCCTGAAGGTGGAGGGGTCGGGCAGGGGCTGTGTCCCGCTGAGACAGGATCTCCTCCATGGAGGCACAGCGGCCTTTCTCTGTAGGTGTCAACTTCTTGGGAGCCTGTGGGGTGTAGGTGGCCCCCTTGTCTGGTTTTTCCCAAGGCTGAGAAAGGCTGCTACCTCGGTCTGAGGAGGGCTGGATGCGGTCTGAGTCTGCTCTCCGCCGACTGCCTGCCAGCTGGGCCACAGACTTGTCTAGGTCCACCCGAAAGCTCTCAGCACAAGAGGTCGACTCCTCAGGGTTAGGGTCTTCTTCTTGGATCAGGTCCAAGGTCAGCATCCCATCTGAGGTAGAGGTGGAAGCCTGAAAGGACAAGGTGAAAATGAATGGCTGAACTCACAAGCAGAGACTTCAGGAACAATAACCCGAAATGAGGGTTGTAGTCATTTTCCTGCTTGGTCTGCCATCTCTAAATCTGCATTCTTGAGTGGGCCCTTCTATGTTGTTTACTACTTTTTATTCCTTTGATGCTGACTTAAACCTCATTTTCCCTTTTTTATGAGTCAGGGTTTGGCCATGTAGACTAGACTGGCATTGAATTCACTGTGTAGCCCAGGCTGGCCTTGAACTCCATCCTGCATCAGTCTCCTGAGTGCTGGAGTTACAGATGAGTGCCACCATGCCTGGCTCTCCTCTCCTTCCATTTTTCTGTAAAGTCAACTTTCCTGCTTGTTTCCCTTAACCTCCTCCATGCTATAGGCTTTCTGAGGAGTGTCTGCTTCCTCTGGACGGAGAACGAAGTCCCCTACTGGATTTGGCACACTCTGGGTGCTCCATATAACACAGTTGCTGTCCCCTCCATTTCCTCAGTTCCCCTTGCTATGTGGAACTCTGAACCCCTTGCCTTATTCTAAATCTGTATCTTACTTCCAGAACAATCTGACTCAGGGGTGGTGAACATACGGCACGCTGTTCGTTATCACTGAAAGCTCTAAAAGGTTCGTGATCACTGCTTTCATTTAAAAAGGGGCCTCACTGCTTTGTGTGGAGTTATTTGCCTTAACCATTCTTCACAGCAACCATTCAAGGTAGACATGAGCTCTGCCCCATTTTCCAGTCTTGCAGCTTCAGAAACCACAGTTAACCTTGAAGGTAGGCCCCAGCTCAGACGCTGTCCAACTCCAAAGCCAATTTCATTCTGCTGTACCTCAGGGCCTCTCTCCCTAGAGGGCTCAGATGAGTGCCAGAGATGATCACTTTGGATCGAAGCTGATTCCGGTCCTTCTCCGACTGGAACAGTGCTCTGTGCCACCTTTCATCAGGACAGTAGCCACTGCACTGTGCCACATAGTGGCTTTTATTGTCTTGTGTAGATTTTACCTTTTTTTTTTTGTACTGGGGATCTAACTCATGACCTCATGCTTGCCAGGCAAGCACTTATGCCACTGAGCTGAATCCCTGGCCCCTAGACTTCATTTTTCACTTTCCCTGGGACACATCTTATTTTCTCCACTAAAACTACTGACATCAAGACGTGTGAGCTCATGGTAGTGCTGAATAAGTATTTTTGATTTAGAGAAACTGAATCAAAATGGGAATGTAGAATAGAAATGACTTCCTCAGCTTTGAATTTCTGTCTCAAGAGGCCTCCACAGAGGCTGCTCTGAAGGATGGACACAAACTCAGCCCTTGCCAATGTTTCCTTTCTTGTAGTCCTACATACCACAGCCATGAGGTGTCCCCGGGTGGGGGGGCGGCGGGAATGCTGGATTTTCGCCCTGTCTCTTGTGGGGTGTGCCAGATAGCTATCCTCCTCGACAGTGACCTGAAGAGATACAGGGGTATGTCATGGGTGCCGTCCAGGACTCTGTCCCAACTCAACATCCCCCAAGGCCCAGATAGGGAAATACAGCCACCCTCAAACCACTTCTGCACAAGCCCGTAGGAAAGGACTTCCTGGACACAAAGGACCTCAGGCTGGCTTGTGCGTCATGAGGTAGGGGAGGAGGAGATGGTGGAAAAGATTTGAAGGTGGAAGGAGAAGAGGGTTTTCACAAGGGGAACGAAATGGACCTGATGGGGGAGCAAATGATTGGGCCCCCAACAAATCCTCTTTGGTGAGTCACAGTTGTTTCCTCTGCCCAGTGCCCTCTCCCCACAACAAGCCCTCTGACCTCATCCAAGATGCGGTTCTTGGCTCGGGTGATGGCGGAGTTGAGGGCATTTATCCATGACTCCTTCTCTTCTGGACTCACTGCCAGGAAGATCAGGTTGGGTGCCTGTGAGGAGAAGACTCTTGTTTCAGCCAGGGTTTAAAAGTTGGTGCCTCACCTTGATAGTGAAGAAATAAGAACTTACAATCTCATTCTCTTAGATCCAGCTCCTGGAAGGAGACAGATTCTGCCTCTGGAGTCATATACAACTGTAGGGAACTCAGCCTCGTTTCTGCAAAATGCTATATAGCTCGGGGCAGCTAAGACGGATATTGGATATTAATTTGGCATTGAAAGAGCTGGGCATGGAGGTGCATGCCTGTAGTTCCAGGATTTGGGAGGCTGAGGCACGAGGATTGTTACAAGTTCAAGGCCAGCCTGGGCTACAAAGTGAGCTCAAGGCCTGCCTGAACTGCATAGTGAGACCCCGTCTCAAAAAAAAACCAAAAAAGCACTGGAGATAATTAAAGGAAATTTTATAGAGGACAGGTATTAAAGATCGTTAAATAAGGAAACAGGATGTGACAGGAATGGTTTCCCCAGGTTTCCTCAGACAAAAAAGAATCAGATTCAGAACTTTAATCAACTTTCCAGGGATAGCGACTACTGATTTTCCTCCCGAGAGAGATACTGCACACACAGGGATGTGTGTATTTGACAGGGATGTGTGTATTTGACAGAGACAGAGACAGAGACAGAGAGAGAGAGAGAGAGAGAGAGAGAGAGAGAGAGAGAAAGAGACACACACACACACACACACACACACACACACACAGAGAGAGAGAGAGAGAGAGGGGTTGGGAAGGAGGAGAGAGACAAAGTGCAGCCTGGTCTGTCTGGAGGGAAGGAAATGGCCATTAGAGCCACTGGTTAAATAACAGAAGTCAGCAGGACAGCGTGAGTCAAGACAGCTGAGGGAAGAACCTGGAGGGGAGCCTTCTCTTGGCCCCTGATTACTGGATTCCTGAGGCCTGGGAGGCAGGAGAAACGCACCGTGTTGCCCGGCTGTTTGGAGCAGGCGACAGTAAACTTGCTATGGTTCTTCTTGCTTCTGCTCTTTGATTTCCGGAGCTCTTCACACTTCTCATAGTCACTCAGGTCAAACACTTCCTGAATATTCTTCTCATCTTTTACCTAGCGGAGGGTTAGAGGTGAGGTAAGGAGGATAAAATTAATGAGCTCCTCCCCTGAAAATGTCAGTCTAGAACAGTCTCAGGCACTAGTAGCCTGAGGAAAGGAAGGGATGACAGGAAGGGCCATCCTGCCCAAAGCCTTCGGAGGGCTGAAAATCATGTGGGACTAGGGCAACGTCCAAGTCTGGAGTCCTGGGTGGGTTGCGTAACCCCTTGCCCAACCCTCTTCAACCAACCCACCATCTCCAGAGCCTCTCTTTACCAACAGCTCACTGTTACCAAAGGACACAAGATGCAAGTCCTTAAAATGCGTACACCCTTAAAAGGACATACTGAATGGGGAAATTTGATCATCCTCAATCAAGAATGACCTGGGTGGGCCATGATGAGCCCAATGAAGCTGGTCAGTCTGGAGGGAATGACTGTCTGTCTCTGGCCTCACTCATTTTGTTTTGTTCCCACAGTAACTTCTTGCCCTGTCCTAGACCTACTTCTGATACCAGAATAGTATTTACTATTATAAAGACTCATCAAGACAAAGCAGCCCGCACTTGTCTGGTTAAAACTAACTAAATATGTAAAAGCAGCCTCAGGTCTTCCTTGGAAGATATCTGCCTTCCTGGACCAGAACTGTTTCTCAAAGGAGCCCCAGGCTTCCCAAGCCCTGGCATAGGCGGTGTGCATGCATGAGCACGTGCCCTCTCATCTTTCCTTCAGGGTTTTGCCAACCTTCAAGTAGGAAAGTAGCCTACTCTTCTGTTCCCCAATCCATTTAAAGTTTGTTATTTGCTCATCCCTCTAAACTGTGCTGGATCCAGGGAGCTGAGGACAGTAGGGCAGATGATCCTAACTTCCTTAAGGTGCATGACAGCCCATCTATCTGCCTCTGTTGTTTGTTTCGGGAAGGCTTGGTTTCCTGGCTTCAGAGGCTCTGAAGGATGACAGACTCAACTAGGACAGGGTACTTCCACGGGCATTCAAGAACAATTCCCAGAAACCCAGAGCCAGGATGTAAGATGATGCATCATCCTTGCTCTCCCCACCTCTCCCTGACTTAGACTATCAGCAGAGGCCAGAAGCCTTAGAGAGGAAAGTGCGGGGTGTGTGTGTAGCCAGGGGAAGAGAGTAACTTGTTCCATTTTCCTGAGGGGCGGGGAAGGGAAGGGAGTTGCTCTGGCTTGGCCGTGGACTGATAAGGAGCACTGGAGGCAGACACTAACAGAGGGTAACCCTTGGTAGGGCAGGGGGAGAGGATGGGGTAAGGACAGCTCCACTGTGCAGGCAAGAACACCCCGGGGAGTCTTCTCTCCTCTGAACTGCATTTCAAATCTAGTTCCCAAAGTCTCATTTATAATCACTCAGCCCCCAAATTCTCCCTTTCTTCCTCCTGATTCTTCATCCATGGCTTACAGAGGTTTTTCTCAGGCTTGGTAAGAGCTGCTCTCAACCCAGCTTCCTCTACCAAGAGGTCTTTCTGGGATCCAGCTACTGGAGCTACCCATTGGCTCTTTTTTTTTTTTGTCTTTTTCGGTACCAGGGATCAAACTCACGACTGCCTGCTTACAAGGCAGGCACTTATGCCGCTGAGCTAAATCCCCAGCCCCTACCCATTGGCTCTTGACAGAAGATGCCTCAGCCCTCTCTGAAAAAGGGAGGCTTTTGCCTGAGGAGAAAATGTTTCACAATAATCACAGAAGGGGGCTGGGGATTTAACTCAGCAGTGTAAGTGCCTGCCTGGCAAGCATGAGGTCGTGAGTTCAATCCTTGATACCACAAAAAAAAAAAAAAAAAAAAAAGGAAAAAAAACCACAGAAGGATGAGACTCTAACAGTTGTAGATCTTATCATTCCAAGTAGAAATAACAACAACAATGACAAGATTGGTGTAAATTCCAGAGAGAGTATATTCTGCTTGCACTAACATGTAAATGACAAATATAATATGCTTTTTTTGGTACCAGTACCCAAACTCAGGACCTTGTGCTTGCCAGGCAGGCACAGTGTTACTGAGCCTATATCCCCTGCCCTATGGCATACTTTAAAAAACTCTGTAGGTTCTGGAGCTTTTGGAAAGTGAGCAAAAGAAAGCTGGGAGTCCCATCAGTGTCACCTTTAAGTTAGGCCTGCTGTGGTAGAAAACTGGCTGTGAAGGACAGTAACTTAACAGCTGTTCCCTCCTTTCTTATGTCCTTCCCAGCAGGGAGCAGGGGGACATCCCCTGCCCTGGGCCAAGCCAGATTCTCCTGACTCACAGAACCCCAGGCTGAGGCCATGCCATCCTTTCCTTGGCTCTGGGTGACTTCCTCCACATACAAGGCACAATCAAGTTCTTTTGGCCCCCAGAGTCTGCTTTTTGGACAGACACAAACAAGAAAAAAGTCTTGTTTCTTCTACCCTTTCACTGTTCTCTAGTTTCCTCTTTGACGTGTAGGAAATTCTCCCTGATTGCTCACTTAAGTTTCCTGCCATTATGAAGTTCGGGAAGGCAGAAGGTACACTCTGACACTTGCTTTTGTTTTGTTTTGTTTTGTTTTTAAACTAGAAAGCCAGAAAACTAGAGTGAGAACTTTCCGCAGAATTTGGAACTGAACAGAGGTGACCCTTACAACTCAATCTTCCTGAGTCTTTTCTCAACTCACTCCTGAGACTCTCCCTCAGTGAGTTCCCGACTGGGTGTGAAAAGGTTTAGATTCCCTGCAAGGGGATCCTTCAGCCCTGGCACAGCATGGTTCTTCCCTAATGCCTAGGCAGGTGCTGTTCTCAGATGAGTATGTTCTCTTGGGCTGTGGGTCTGTTTCAATACCATAAAAGGATTTATTTACCTAAATATAATCTATTGAATAGCAGTGTCTACTGCAGAAAGCAGAAGTAGTTAGCACTCAGGCAGGACTTCCCAGTTGGCCCTGAGTGAGGGGTCACAAGGTGGTTTGTCAGGCATTGGTGGCACAATCACAAAGAAGAATTCCGATTTCTCACTCTCACAATATGCTATGGATCACAAGAGTTAGGGACAAAAGGGAGAAAAGCCTGAAACTCATTGATTTGTGCTCAGATTCTGACCCAATATGGCCTGTGATTTTTAATGTTTAAGACTACAGAGCCAAACCTATGCAGAGACATCAGGGACTTATAACTATTTTTCTTCCTTCTGATCTAAATATCGGAGGGTAGGAGTAAGTTAAATATGAGTGCCTTATTATTTTTTAAGTGGAGTGGAACAGAAAGCGTACTTGTTAGGGACACTGGTTTCCACAAAGATAACTGTTTGGCACTCACAGATATTCTACCCAAGGTCACAAGACTGACCCTGGGTTCTGTTTTCTGATCAGAGCAGCTGTGCTACCGATAGGACCAGCACAGGTTCCTGCCACAGACAAGAAAGGAGAAGCTGGCTGGGGTGCAGTGGGGAGCAGGAAAGCGCCAGGGAAGAGCTGAACAGCTGTTTTAACAGCAAAAACAAAGGACAAAAATCCTGTATTTCAGGATGTCAGGTTAGGGTAGGAGGCAGCAGGGGCCACTCGGGATTTCTGACATGTTGGGAGATGAGTATCATTGTTGTCATAGACGTATTTGCCAAGAAAAAACATGAAATCAGAAGTAAACTCAACTTCTAATTCTTCCTCAGGTCCTCTCATTGAAGAGGGACCTTTCTCTATGGAGTAGGATGGGACAGAGACTCAAACTTGATTTAGAAAAGCAGATCCCATGGAGACGTGTCGTGTGCCCCCCCCCCTCATGCAGACAAAGTGGGGACGGCCGGAGGCAAAGGGCGCCTACCTCTCTCTCGGAGATGTAGAGCTGGTCCCCTTTCAGCATCACATAGCGGTTTTTCCAAATCTCCCTGAAAATTCCTTTCCCGCAGAATTTCCGGACCCAGCCAACCTTTTCAGGCGGTGCAGACTGATGATTTCCATCCTGAGGCCCCTGTCCCGGGGGCAAGATAAGAACCAGACGGTGAGGTGACTGCAGCCAGTTCTGGCCCTCAAGACCTCCTCGGTTCTCCTGTCGCCTCCGAAGGCTGCGGCCGGGAAGCCCGGGTCGCCCCAGGTCGGAGGAGGTCCGCGCTCGCTGCAACTCTGCCGCCGCTGCCCTCCCCCTCTGGAACACCCGAAACTGAGGGGAAGGGGAGAGGAGGGCGAAGGGGGAGCGGCGGCCTCGGAGCCGGCCCAGGCCCAGCCCGCTGCCGCCTCTTCGCGCACGCCGGGCCGACGGCGTTTTCCTTCCTTTGATTCCTCATTGTCTTCCCGTGGCCGCCGCGGAGCGCGGTGCGGGCGGCCGCCCAGAGCCGGGCGGAGGAGGGCGCGGGGCGGGCCGAGCCGAGCCAAGTTGAACCCCCCGGTGCGAGTAAACAAACAAAAGCGCCGGAGCGGGGAGCGGGGCGCGGGGCCGGGCCGAGCCCGGCACCTGGCGGCCGCGGAGCCCCAGCCGGGCGGGGGTGGCGCAGGCCGCCCGGAGAGAACCCGCTCGGCCGCGGAGCCCCGACGGAGCGGGGTCGCGGCGCGCAAAGTCGGCGGCGGCCTTGCGGCCAGCGGGCGCACTCACCCTCTTGATCGGGTTGTTCTTCTTCATGGCTCCGGCGAGCGCTGGGCGCACGGGCGGCCCCGCGTGGGGCCGAGGCCGCGTCGGGGGCTCCTTCCCCGGGGAGGGCGGCGGAGATGCCCCGGCGCCGCCGCTCCGCCTCCCTCCGCCCGCGCCCGCGCCGCGCCGCCGCTCCCCTCCGAGGCTCGGGTTACACCGAGGGCCGGCCCCCCTCGCACTCGCGCTCGCACACACGCACGCCCGCTCCCCGCCCCTCGGCGCCCTCCGGCCCGGCGCCCACGCGGCCCGGGCCCCACGCGCGCCCCCGCCGCCCACCCGCTCCCCGGCGGCCCGCGCCCCTCGGCTCCATCGTGAGCCGCTGACGTTGCGGGCTCGGCAGGAAGAGGGCGAATCGCGGAGCCGCCGCCGGTGCGCCTCGCCGCCCCCCGCCTTTGTTTTCTACTCGCTGGGGTGGGGAGAACGGACCGGTGCCCGGTCGCGGCCCCGACCCGGACCCGGACCTGGACGGCCGAGTGGGGCCGAAGAGACCCTCCGAGATGCCCAGCGGAGCTGGCTGAGCGGATAACCGGGAAGCACAGCGATTGAGGTGGACCGGAGATGACCGAGATCGAGACCATCTCCCTCCGAAATCCCAGACTAAAACCGGAGCGCGAGCCAGGAGGGCACCTCGAGGTCACGCCCTCTGCCTGGGTTTTAGTGGGCCCGGGCGGGTCAGATGTTGGGGAAAAGTTTTATGCGTCCAAGAACGGTGTTGGGGATGGAGTGGGAGAGAAGTTGCTGTTGCTACACATAGCTTCACTTTAAGTAGCCTCAGGCCTTGTTTGAGCCGCAGAATGACGCTAAGTATTAGGTGGATCTAAGGATCTCCGTTCACTGGGAAACAAGTGAGACTCAGAACGGCTGAGGGGTTTGCAGATGCACCCATTTCCTGTAAGGACTGGCAGAAGTCAGTCTCCAAAGCCGTGATCCACTGTGCCAGCGGTATAATGAAATAGAAGCTGCAGTTGAGGCTTAAACTTCCCAGTCATTTTTCTGCAACTGCCCTGCCCAGTAAACATCCTATCCGGTCTGCACGCTGGAGTCCAGGGGATGGCAGAGCTCGATGCCCACAGTTGCCCTCCTTGGGGGAACCTCTGCAGATCTCTTCTGCCCAGATCTGCACAGCCTGCAGGACACATTTCAGTAACCTTCAGATTTTCGGTACATATGTGATGAGAAGAAGTCGGGAAGCCCTAGCCGAGTAATGGGTTCATTGCCCCTAAGTGGCCTCGGACAAATCGCTGAATTTTCTTAAGCCTGCATCCTCTGCATAATGGTGAGGGATGAACTACCATTTCCATCAAGGAAACTCAGAGCAGTATATGAAATGATCTGTGAAAATCCTTTAATGATAAAAGTATTGCCCTGTAGAGTTAACTATGAGATTATAATAAACACTTTGCCTGCCTGGTGTGGTGGCACACAGCTGTAATCCCAGCACCCTGGAGGCTGAGAGTTCAGGACTAGCCTGTACTACAAAGCAAGGCTCTGTCTCAAAAAACAACAAAACAACCCATAAAACATTGCCTGACTGTAGGCACCAAATGACCACAAAATGAATAGAGGCCCCAGTTACACAAGAGCAATAGAAAAGGAAAACCCCTTATTCTGGAGATGTCCCGAGTGGAGGTATGTTGGCTAGGTTTGTGATTTTGAGGGATGGAGGGTGTGTGGGCTTTTTCTGATATCTCTGTAACTAGGGGAGAGATGTTTCTTGTCCCAGACTCACCTTTTTAATCCAATAAATGTTTCACTAACCGTCCTTATTAATTTCTGTTTTATACTAATGGCAAACTTTATCCTTTCAAAGTACTCTGTTGTTTCTTTAAATCTTTAGTGCCACCTTGTGAAGTTTATAGAAAAAGTATTAATATTCCCATTTGGGAAATGTGAAAGAGGGAATGGAAAATCAACTAGTCCAAATTTACACAAGTTACTAGTTTAGTGGGTTAGGGTTATGATTCCAGTTGACCCTTTAGACTTTGTACACACACACACACACACACACACACACACACACACATTTCCCAGACCATTTGTCTTCTTTCCTTCCCATCATGTCTGTCTTACCCTCCTGTTTAAAAGATCATGAAAATGAATGAGAAAATCATTTATGAAAATCAATTTCATAAATAAGGAAGCAAAACATACTAAAGTAAGAACTAGGAAGGAATGATTGTGGATTAATCACTTAAATGGGCTGGGATTGTGCCTCAGGTAGATTATTTGCCCTAATATGCCTGAGCCTATGGTTGATTCCCAGCACTCCCAAGGGAAACAAAAAGTATAGATTTTGGCTTAGAGGAAAGAAGTAACCCATGACTTGCCCCATCTTCTTCCATTCCCGGTAACTTTTAGTTAACCAGTATTTGAGTCCTCCTTATATGCAAAGTACCAGTCTCCTTGTGTACTGCATCACATAGGAGCTGGAGTTTTGTGAAACATCAGGCAGAAGACCCATAAAAAATAACCCTCCAAAGTAATTTTCAGATTCTAGAGCAGATGCATGTGGGCTGCAGAAGCTTGGCTAGGCCTGTCTGCTCCTTAAGATGTTACATAAATCTCTGGCCAGGTTGCTCGCCCCCTTACTGACCCGTGCCACTGCACTGTTTCACCTTGTTGCCCTTCACTACCTTCCTTCACTTCCCCCACTGTTTTGCAGTGTACCCCCTTAACAGGCCACACTCTTCCCCAGCCTGTGCTCAAAGCTGATTGTTCTGTCCCCAGGTGAGCCTTAGGGCACTTGAATTTGAATCAATGTGAGACTTTTTTCAAGGACCAATGCTTACGTGAGAAATCAGAGCAAGCATGTCTGGGTTTCTTTACACATTTTTCTAACACTGTCTTTCTGGTGAGCTTGACACCAGCACAAACCCAAAGCACAAATATAACTCTCAAGCTTCTTCTGACTTTGGTGGAGCTAAGATACTGGAGGACTCATGATGGGGTTACTCTCCTACCTACATGCATACGTAAGATGCCACTGCCAGTGACTATTCTCCAGTTATATATCCTATAAGAAATTCTATTTATGGAGAAAAGAGGGAAGCTGGTAGAGGTAAAAGCTTGTGACTTGCTGCTTGCAAGTTTCCTGGGCAGAAACTGTTACCCAAACAGTTAAGAAGAAATACCCTTGGCTTTTGTAAATGAGACATAGAGGTTTTGGCTGGGGCATTTCAATCTAAGGGGAAGAAGGCCATTAAAAGCATATAAGGCCTTATTTAGTTTTGAAGACAGGGTCTCATTATGCTGTACCAGCTAGGCTTGAACTCTGTATCCCTGGCTGGCCTTGAACTTGCAGTGATCCTCCTGCCTCAGTTTCCCAAGGGCTGGTATTACGGGTGTTTGCCCCAGTGGCTGATTTTAAATTGGTTTTTAAACTGGGTGTGATAGTGCATTCCTATAATCCTAGCACTCTGGAGGCTAAGGCAGGAGGATCGTTGCAAATTCAAGACCAGCGTGGGCTACAAAGTGAGCTCAAGTCCAGCCTGAACTGCATAGTAAGACTCTGTTTCAAAAAATTGATTTTTAGGGGCTGGGGATTTAGCTCAGCGGCATAAGTGCCTGCCTTGCGAGCAGGCAGTCGTGAGTTCAATTCCCAGTACCGATAAAAAGGAAAAAGATTAAAAAAAAAAAGAAATGACCATTTTTGAGTGTTATAAAATGAGCCCTAAGGTAAGTCTCATTTCTTGGATTTCTTAGTATTGTTAGTTGAGAGGCACTATGGAAGTATGTAAATAAAGAATAATATTAGAAAAGTCTTTTTATTATTCTTATTCTAGTTATTTTGCCAAGAGGAATGTGAGCACATATAATCCATTTGAAGGAGAGTGGTTTCCATTTTTTTTTTTTTTTTTGTACCAGGGATTGAACTCACGACCTTGAACTTGCCAGACAGGCTCTTATGCCACTGAGCTAAATTTCCATTTTTTTTAAAGAAAAATAGTATATAACCAGATGTGGTGGCTCATGCCTGTAATCCCAGCACTTGGGAGGTTGAGGCAGGTGTATTGTTGCAAGTTCAAGACCAGCCTGGGATACAAAGTGAGCTCAAAGCCAGCCTAAACTACATAGTGACATCTTGTCTCAAAAAGACCAATAAGAAAAAAGTATATAATAAACAAAATGTTGCATTTATAAAATATTGCCACCTGAAGTTCAAACTTTCTCAAGAATTTACCGGGCTGGGGATTTAGCTCAGTGGCATAAGTACCTGCCTTGCAAGCAGGCGCTTGTGATTTTGATCCCTGGTACTGACCAAAAAAAAAAAAAAAAAAAAAAATTACCAAAAAAAAAGGGGATTAAAAAACTTATCCAACCACAAAAATGGAAAATAGAAAAGAACTTGAATCTTAGCTATAATCTGAGTGGAAACTTAAGGGCTTCATATGAATGTGTATATGAGATCTGGGAGAAGTCTAGAAAAGGGAGACAAAATAACCTTTCAGTTTTTCCCTCTTTCTTGAGCCACTGATTATTGCAATGGGAGGGTTAGCAGAAATCTGATAGATTTGTATTATAATTCTGTTATTCCCCAACTTGGAGACAGGAATCATTTTATTTACTATTAGTGGTCAAATTACATCAAATGATTATTACGCATCAGGGTTCTAAGCATTTCACATGTATCTCATTTAATTCTTAAAATTGTACAAGCAAAGTACTATTATTCCCATATTATAGATGAGGAAGCTGAGCCACAAAGAGATTAATATGCCAATGCCGCATAAATATGACAGATTTGACCCTTAGCTGTCTGTTACTAGAGAATATCAGCATAAGAAGTTACAAAAAGCACATACACACTCTTCCAGTGAACCAAAGAGGGGCTGTGCTGTGGTATTTTTGTTACAATGATTTGAACATGTTTCAATTTCCTGCCCATCACTTTTTGTTGACTCTAAGTAGGGCAAAATTGGCACCAGAATTTATGGTTGGTTTGGCATACTTTAAGTACACTAAGTTGGAATTCGCGCCTTTACATGTTTGTTGTAAAGTCATTGCAGTGCTCACCTTGTGAATTCCCATCCGCAAACCCCAAAGAAATAAAACTGAATCTCTCAAGTCTATTCACAAAATGAATTTTTATTGTAGTCATAACATGGTTTCTTAATGCCACAGAAAATTGCATGTAGGGACAAACAATTTTTGGATGGCTCTCTAAAGAAACATGGTGGGTTCTCAGAAATGAACTGTGCAGGAATGTGGTTACTGCAAAGAAAGGGCTCAAAGGAAGAGAGGACACAGAGGACAGTGGTATGATTACCTTTTTTTAGAGCCCTCTTGGCTCTGATAAAACTTTCCCAGTAAGATCCCCCCAGAATCCATCAGCAGCTGAAGTGACTGGGCCCTCAAATATACAAAGAAACATTTACTTATCTGATAAAACACAAGAGGAGTGGGTTGCAATGGGCTCAGACTTACATTCAGCTCATCTCAGGGAGCTCTGTCTGTGCCAGCAGCTTGGGAGTCAGTGGGCTACCTGGCGGGGAGTTACAACAACAAGCACAACACCCTTGTCCAACTCCTGTGGTCACCGGGGAAGGCCTGCACCAGGGGAGGGTTTAGGAAGCGCCATCTTCCAGTCTCCACTACTGGTTCATCTTCTGTTTGCTGACCTCACTGTGGTTTGAGAGCTCTCCTTGTTTCGGCTGTGCAGTCCTGAAGCCAGCACTTCTTCTAGAAAACTGACAAGGAGATTTAAGGTTACTTTAAGGAAAAGCATGACATTCAAGTAGATAAAAAGGCATCACGAACAGTACACGGGAAGTACTGGCCTCACGGTGGGGTGTTGAAGCATCAGTTGAGCATTAAGACTTCCAGACTGGGATGGCCCCTTTGTACTCTTCCCCAGGGTCCTGTGTTTTATAAGATTTGTTATGACTAATATTTTAAATCTGAAATTTCTACTTAGGAATCCACGAGTTTTAAGGGCAAGGATCCTGTATTAGCTCAGGGCCATGCTATATCTGTACTCTAGAAATTGCCTCAGAGCTTGCATTGTGCTTGGAATCTCTTCCTTATCTTTTTTTCTAAAGTGGGTCAAGAGTAACTTCCAAAACACAGTTTCTATCCTGTTGCATACTCTCTTGTTTAAAAATTTTGTTTACAGAATAATGTACATAAAATTCAAAGCTATTCATACTGTGGCCTGAAAACAACTATAATGTTATTTATTTTGTTTTCAGAACTGCTGCATTTGTGTACATACATATACATACCCTATGACTTCCATGCTTCTCTCT